AGTGAGGCCAGCCAGGGAAACCTGTTGTGCAGGGTGACAGTTGGGAAGGGACCAGGCTAAATGTCACTGAACTAGGGGCGGGAAGAGGTGGTGAGATGGAAACCGTCCAGAAAGCAAGAGCGATCTGACCATGGCAAGGTGACAGACGAGAGGCGCTTGCTGTGGCGCTGAAAGGACGAGGAGTGTCTCCAGAAGAGAGGGGAGGAAGTGCAACAGTTTAGAGCTCTTGCAAATAGGGGGAAGAAATGAATGAGCAGAAAGGATGTGAACTCACCCCCATGCAGCATCCGAACTGTTCCTAGAAAACATGAATCTGCCTCTCCCAGGAAGGAGAGTAAAGGTTGAAGGCATGAGATGGCGCTGAATATGCTGTGAAATTTTCTGCCTGGTGCAGTCTCTGCATCACCTGCAATGGAGAAACTGCTCAGGGCAGATACCAATCTGCCCTGAGATGCCCAGACTGGTTGGCAATGGGCAGCTAGAGAAAAACTGGGAGCACTGGGACCTGGCTTTTAGGGCTCCTCGCTGACTTAAAGCTATAGCTGTTCCTGAGGCTATTTGCAAGCAGGTTTTCTGTTTAAGCCACGCCAAGTCGAGCTTGCCCCTGTCCTTGGTGGAAATGCATTTATTGCCTGGCTCTGGCCTCCACGCAGATCCTGCCCAGCAAGGACCAGGTCCTGCTCAGACCACCCACCTCAGCCATGGGGGATGGCTGCACGGCACAACACGGTCTGACCCGAGCACATGGGTCTTCAAACAAGCCCTCCTGCTCCCCTGCTCCCAGCTCCAAGAAAGCTGGTGACCCTCACATGGCACCATACGGTTATTTATTACGAAAGGGGCTGTCCTGGGTGTGCCAGGCTCATCAGAGTCACACCATTTCCTTTTGGCTTCCGTATGAAGGAAGATGGGCCTATACATAGGTATGTACATATATCTTGCAGGGAAGGGCATTTTGGGTTGAGACAGTCTCTTGCTGTGGTGAGTCCCAGGACTGATCTGCTCAAGGTGTCTGGTTTTACTGAAGGAAATAATCCTTCGGGATACCACGTCTGGCAGAACGGCCATGGGTTGGGGTTGGGTGGTCAGGGAGCTGTTTTTCTGAGCAATCAGTAGATGAATGTCACATTTTTAGGCTTTGGCTCCGGAGGCAGTTTGGCCACCCAGAGGCACTGACAGTGTCCTCCATTAAGATTCTCTGCAGCAAAATTTACGCACCTGTGGCTTTAGAAATGTGCTTTCTCAACAAGTATCAACATCTTTATTTCTCTTCACTGGAAAATGCTTCATCATCTTAGGGGATGTGAGTAGTTGTCTGCATCTTTCTAAGAACTGAGCAGAAATGTACATTCAGGTCTTCACTGCCACTTCTGCCTTCTGTTGGCCATTAAGGGGAAGGTGATAGCCAGGCACCATTTCTAGCATATTCCTGTGTCTTCCTCAGCCCTGGAAGCCTGGGATCTATCGCTGCTTTAGGAAAACATTACTTCTGCGTGCAGCATGAAAAGCCATCCACTTTTACATGCCTTTCTGCGGTGCTGGCCTCCATGCTGCCCCATCTTGGTGTCTCTGGGAAGAGCTGTTTCGGGTGGAGGACTGAGCCCCCCCCTCCCTGCAGCGAGCCAGGGTGCTGGTCCCTGGGATGGTGAGGAAGGCACAGAGCTGGCGCTTCTGACTGCGTGGGCATTTTGCCTTCAGGGTGTCTAATTCCTCTCAGAAAAAGTAGAGATGTAAAAGCTGTCAGACCATGAACCTTGATTGCCGTCAACCCATATCTCCATTGGCACAGCACAGCTCCTCCTTCTGTGCAATGCCAGACTCTGACCTTCAACTCCCCTGGTTGTCAGTATACCTCAAAATGCTTACCGACACACCAGGGTGATGTAAACAATAAATATATAGAGATATGCCTGTATAATATAATAATGATGTTATTCTTATCATAGTAATGATTTTATTTTTGTCCACCGCTAGGCTTTTCCAGGGTTTTCGTTAAAAATATTTACTTCTATATACATTGCACAAAATATTCAGTAAATACCACACTCTGATTTCAGGATGAGTCGCTCTTTTAATAATTTACAAATTCTGAAACCCTTGGCACCGTTGCTCTTGTCTTGGTCTGAATCCAGAGGAAACCCCCTACAAGCCACCCTCCTCTTGGGTCCCAGCCTCCCCTTTCTCTTCGTCTGCTGCCTCAGGCTTAGTGCCCTCTGCTTCTTGCGTTCACCCGCTCCATCTCCAGCGGCTGTTTCTGGGAGGGGTGAGCATCATGATTAGCCCCTGAGACCCACGCATGAGCATCAGGGCAGCCTGGGGCTCCTCCAAGGGCTGCACGGTGTGAGGGTTTTCTTGCATCCCTCAGCTCTAGCAGCAAGGTCAGCCTCAAATAGCTGCATCAACGTAAATGGCAAGCATATCCCCTGCTCTAGGCAAGTTAATCCCTCGGTGCAGATTTGGGCTGATGGCGACACGAGCGCTACAGCCCCTGCTCTGGGCCACCTTCCTGCACTCCTCCTCCTCCTCCTCCTTTGCAAAATGCGAGGGCTCTGAAGATCGCCACGGATGCTTTCTCCGTGCACACGCTGCTGCTTGCTGGCCTTGGAGGCAGCTGCCAGCTTGCTGAAAGCTGCTGGCTGCCTTTGCCTCGCTCGTGCGGGCTTTGTTCACACTTCTGTGCCCGGGGGTGTGGATTAACGAGCACGCTGTATTCCTTGCACGCCCTCTGAGGGCTCCTCTGAGCTGTCACGCGTAGGTGGGTGTAAGATCAAGAAAGACATGAGCAATTCAGGACTCCCTGCAGGCTCCCAGAATAGCGATGAGGAGTTAGCTGAGGTACTCGGGGTAGGTGTCTGCCGTGGGTGGCTTGAATGTGACCCGAGTTGTTAAGGACGTTGGTACACGGGGTTGTTTGCAACAGGCTCCGACAGCGCACGGGCTGGGTGGTGCTTCCCGGATGACCCTGCGCTGTGTGTCCTTCGACGAGGAACCCCAGGGCTGCGGGACTGCTCCCAGTGCCACAGGGACAGATGGGGCTTGCATCCAAGAGGGACTGTGGAAGCTCAAGGCATTTTGGGATGACCCCGTTGCAGGTCTCCTCCCGTCCTATCCGCTGGTCCTGCTGTTCCCTGGAGCGAGGGCAGCTCTGGGCACTCAGCTCTGTGCCAGTCTCTGTCCTCAGGGTGAAGCTACTGGGCTCCAGCACTCAGATATGGGGCTGGCTGGTACCAAATGACCAAGGTGTTGTCACCCCCAGTGTGGCCACGATGAGCCCTGCACCCAGACCTGGCCCTGGGGCCCTGCAATGCCTGAGGTGCCAGGGCTGTGACCAAAGCCACTGCGTGCAGGAGCAGCTCCTCATCGCCAAGGCACAGCCATCTTTGTGGTGATGTCCACCTGAACCTTCCAGCCACGGGCTCCCTCCAAGCAGCATCTTGGGGAAGAGGGCTCTGGTCCCGCTGGCTGGCACAGCTCTCCGTTTCACCCCCTCCTCCTTGGATGCTATTTTAAGCTGGGTGCAGTCAGCGCTGTAGCGGGATGACTGATGGGGTGCATGCTGCCCCGTGGGCTGAGAAGCTGGGGGCTGCAGTTCCTGGAGCGACGAGGCTCCTGACATAACCGATATGCTCCTTCCTCCCCCAAATACACCCACGTCCCCCTGGTCCCTTCCAGCCCCACCTGAGGCTCCTCTCGCTGCGTGGCTCCCATCCCACCTCCGCCCTGTGTCTGCCCATCTCCCCAGAAGTCCCCTTCCTGCTCTGCTCCCCCGTGTCTCACTGATGTTCATGTTTGTCTCCTCAAACTCGGTATGTAAACTCTGTGGGGTGAGCTGAGTGCAGGCAGGTCTCTGACCTGAGTCTTCTTCATTGGGCTGCCCTATAGGCACCAGACGTCCAGGCAGGAGGAACCCAAAACCTCGTTGTTCACCCAACAGCACATGTCCAGACCTGATTAGAGCAAACTAAATGCCACCAGTGGTGTGGCCTTCATCTCCTTCAGCTCCGGTGGGCCACCAGGCCCAGGGCTGCAGTGGAGATGTTTCCTTACAGGGGCAGATCCTGCCCTGGGGCTGGGGGTCTGGCAGGGTGATTGCAGGGGTACACTGCGTCTCTGGACAGACATCTCCAGAAATGAGCAGGTTTTGGAGGCACGGAGAAAAAGCGCCTTTTCTGAGAGGGATGCATCTGGCTAAGCCTCATGTCCCAGCTAAATGAGACTTTAATGAAACAGTTCTAAAAATCTTGTAGTGAAATACATTTTTTCCATCCTCAACTTTGGGAATAGCTGATCCACTTTAGCAGCAGCTCTCCGAAAACTTTCCCTGAAACAGCCAGCACGTTAAATTTCAGCCCCTAAAGGTAACGTTTTAGTTGACTATAATGAGGCCAGCAATGGAATTTAACTATCTGCTAGTAGTCATAACGAGTAGTGATTAAATACCTTATAAAAAGAATGAGCCAAGCTACCTGAATGTAATCTATGCCCTTCTCACACCTCCTTCTTAATGGTTTTTCTCCTCTTATTTTGCAAAACAGGACGTTCAGATAGGTAAAGCTTGTGGGGGTTTGACAGCATAGAAAAGGGAATAAAGGACATGTTGCTGCTATTATAATTTCGGCTATTGTCGTCACGAAGAATTGTAATAGAGGCAAAGACAGAAAGTTCTTACAAAAATATTTATTTCTCGAAAATGGAATTAAATATTACATCAAAAATACAACTAATTAAATACAGAAAATATAATCTGAGCATGAGTCTTCATTTAAAAAAATACATCTATTAAATAATGTTCTTATTAGTCTGGAGTGGAGTTATTGCACCTGATCCCTCCCCTATAAAAAATTAAATAGCAAAACACTAAAGTCAGATTCTGGAACATTTTCAATTTCTCAGCTAGCTTTAAATGATGTCGAAGCATTTCTGACGGAGCCTGCAGCTGGCCGTGGCTTGCCTGTCCCAGCAGCTGGGGGACACAGGGCGGCAGGGTCTGTCCCGGGGCCTCAGTTGAGCTCCAGCTCATTCACGTACTGCTGGACCCAGTCCTGCTCAGGGTTGGCGCAGACTTCACGGCCTTTCTTTGTGACAAACCTGTGGGGTGCAGAGAGGTAAGTTTTCGGTGGGGGACCACTGCATGGAGAGGAGCCCTGCCCCAAACCCAGCCTCTCCCGAGGATCAGCACAATTTGGGCGTGCAGCATGCCGTGCCCATCACGTCCAGCAGCCACCAGTTAGTTGCAAAATGGTGGAGCGGGACCAGCGCGAGCCCCCTGTGTGCCGAGCCCATGGAGCATCATCTTGTACCCCCATCCCTTGCATCCCCTGGGGCCATCCCCTGTCTTTTGAAGAGTGGTTTTTCCCTCTCTGCGTCCTCAGCCCAAAGGGAGAGCCCGTCTGGGAGGAGAGGACTTACACGACGGCCGGGTAGGAGCATTGGCTGTTGGTCTCGTAGTACTCCACCACGAAGCTGCGGGGCAGCTGGCGGGAGGTGTAGGTGAAGCAGCAGGAGGTCGGTGGGTCAGAGCCGACTGTGAAGAGCAAAGACGGTTGTCAGAAGTGGCGAGGGATGGGGAGCAGCGGCAGGGAGCTGGGACCGCAGACCCCCAGGTCTGGGGAGCGGGGAGGTCATGGAGGAGGAAGAGAAAAGACGAGGTCTTTTTTCTTCTTCCTTCAATTCTTTCTCTGTGGGGTTCACCCCGAGCTGGCACTGCCACACACTGTGCTTTGAGCTGTGCCTTTCCCGTGGCAGGAGGGCCCCGATGGCCCTGGTGCATCTGCCAGAGGGTGGTCTAACACAGGAAGGGATGCAGGGGTGGAAGGGCTGGGAGAAGGGACCCTGTCCCAGCAGCAACATCTCTCCTATCCCAGTTTAGAGAGCAGGGGGAGAGCCTGGACTTACGTGGTGCGGCGGAGGTCTGGTAGCAGAAGGCAGCAATGAGAATGGCGAGGGCAGCCAGAGAGACCTTCATGTCAGCTGAGAAGTGGTGGCTGGAGCTGAAGCAGGCAAATGGAGCTTGAAGGCCTCTTTTCTGTCTGCTGAGAGAGTCCAGCAGCTCCTCAATTTATGGGGTGAGGAGGTCCATGCAGTGGCTTGCGTAGGCATGGTGGAATTTCCCCCCGAGAAGTGACTGCTTGTGGTGCAGTCTCGTGGTGGAACAGAGCAGCAGTCCCAGCCCCGGAAGGGTGAAGCTCCCCCCTCGATTCACTGCCTCCCCAGTGACACAGGATATGAAACAATCACCATTGCTATTTCTGCTTCTTCCATGCATGTCCCTTAGTAAGAAGTTCCCCTGTGGAGGTTCCTGCGTTTGTCAACCGGCCCCTATTACCCAACCTGCCCAAGCAGCTAGGAGGTGAGCACACATCCTTCCAAGAGCTGTGCGAATGAGCTGAAGGGCATGAACGGCATGAGGCGAGTTAGGGAAAAAGGGACTGAGGTCTCCTCTACTGTGGACTGTTTCCCTCCCACATCTGCACAGCTCATGATGCCCCAGTAGCAGGAGATGGGAGCCGTCACCAGTGGGTTCCATGTCCTGTATGTGCTTCGTGTAGTTTGAGGGGACTCGGGGCATGTCCTACAGCCATGACAGCACTGCAGGCACCAGCACAGGTAGTGATGGGCATGAAATAAGAGTCCTAGAAGCTGAAGCACTTGAGTTTCCTCCTCAGTTTAAGAGAAGGGAGAGCTGAGATGGGGTGTTATCTCCTGGAGGTGCCTGCCGCCCTCCAGGTCCTATAAGGAGACCCTAAATGACCAATTTAGATTAGGCAAATCTCAAGGGCTACTGATAGGAGAGGCCTATCATTGCTGTACATGGAGATGCAGATAGCCAAAAGAAGTACAGAGACTGACTGTGACCCTGAAGATGAGGCAGAAGGAGCTCCAGGAGCAGGGTTAGGAAGAAGACACCACTTCTGATGACCAGGATCAGATTAACTGAGGGGTGAGGGCATGGGCAGAAACTGCGATGTCAGGGAAGAAGAGAGTACCCGGTCTCAGCAGAAGAGAGAAAATTGTAATGACCACAGACGAGGAGGAATGACCACCTAGTTGTGTGGGAGAGAGTAAGAGCTCACAGCTCTCTGAGGGCTGGGCAAGGGCTGTGACCAGCCATGATTCACTGGGAAGAAGTCACCAGCCTACACACAGACTGCCATGGAGATCCCATCTCCTCTCTGTCCCTGAGGAAAGCCTGGCAGGGTGGATGGATGGATGGATGGATGGATGCTCTGGGAAGAGCTGTCCAGCTGTAACAAGATGTTGTTCCTAGAAGGACAGCTTTTCTCATCAGGGAAGCAGATGCATTTCTGGGAAATGTCTCAATTTCATTATTTTCAAGGCTTTCCTGAGTAGCAACGTCTTGGCAGACGCTGCCTGAAAGTCAGTGGAAAGACTATAACGTAAAGGAGAGCAACCCAACCGCACCCCCAGCACCTCTGCACCCCCAGCAGCTCTGCAACCCCACCGCAGCGCTGGGCTCTGACTCACCATGTTTCTATTAAAGGCTCCCGACTATTGACCCGGGCGCCTGCTGGAAATAACCTGGTTGTTTCACTCCAACGCCGTGTGGTGCGCACAGCCCTCCGCCAACCGCGGCAGGTCGGCTCCATGCAGGCAGAGAGGGGTCTGGAGGACACAATGCCGTCCTGGCCTTGCACAAGAGAAGGCCTGGAGGTGGCCCACCCTGAAGGAGGCTCCTGCTGGGAGCCGTGGTGGTGTTCCTGCCCATCGTCCTGTCTGGGGAGGGAAAATGTACCCCGTGGAGCCGTGGTGGCTCTTGCCAAGCTGAGCATCGCCTCCTTCCTATCCACCATGGCCAATCTGGTCCACTCTCCATCCTTCCCTTTGACATTTGCAGAGAGAGGCACCTCGCAGGCTCACTCATCAGTTCAGACCACACTCCCTCCTCCACTTGTCAGCTTGCTTGTCCCTAAATATCCTGGGAGGATGAGAGAGAGCCTGCCTCCGCAGGCAGGGCACCCAGCCAGGCAGGAGCTGGGAACCCGGCGCTCAGCCGGACGCCAGCTGGACCAGAAATCGGCTCTGAGCTCGCGTCGGCTCACTTGGCTCCTCTGCCTGGTTGCTCAGGGAATACGACTTGTAGATGTACGTAAGTTTGGCGTGGTTTGCCTCTGAGCTGTTCCCCGTGATTGTACCTTCAAGCATTCATGGGTCATGTCTTGAGATCTGCCACCTACAGCCATCTGGTTCTGTCCTGCTCCCAAGGCACAGGATGTGGGTAGGGCAGGCAGGAGAAATGCCATTTAAGGTGCAGAAACGATCTGATGAAAAAACAGGTCTCGTTAAAAAAGAAGAAATAGTTGGAAATCTGTAATGATTATTCAACTGTTTTCAATGAGATATTTTTCTCTTTCAGGCAGCTGAAAACCTCCATGCCTTTATACATTTCTTGGCAAGCAGATGCCAAATTATTTTGGACTGTCAGAGACCATTTATTAATGAATAAAAAAAAATTCTTTAGTTTAGCTGAGTCAGTTTAGGATCAGTTTAGCCTAGATCGTGTATGTTACAGGGGCCAGGGAAAAGCTGAAACTTTTCTACTGCTAAAAGCCAAAAATAACCCCAAAGTCAGGGTGTTTGCTTCCTAGGGACCTGTTTTCCCCTTAGAAATCTGACAAAAGCCCCCAGTCTGCCAGCTCTTTGCAGGCTGGGTAGAGGTTGGAGGCTATAGTCATATCAGGGATGCCCTGGGGATGTTGCAACATCTAAAAAATGTTTCCTTACCCGCTCCCCCGCATTCCGGTTACGAGGAAAGTAATTTCTTCTAGCTCTTCTCCCTTTTAGAAAGAGAGGATGCTGTGTGTCACAGATGAAGGACCATCCAAGCCAGGAGGTGCTCTGAGATGGAGAGATGGCCACGGTGGAGTGGCTAAAGTGGGCTGGAGCATCTCAGGGACAATTAGGTTCATAGTACGGCAAAATGGTGGTGTAAGATGGAAGTTTTCCCACTGTGGCTGCAGCTGGTTTCAGGATTCATGACCCAGCCTGTGATCTACCCTTGCCCCCACTGCCAGCAGGCAGTGCTTGGAGTCAGCAGGACAGGCTGCCCCAAGCAGTCTGGCTGATGTTGCACCAATTTACGCAGAGGGAAACAATAAAGGGTTTCTGCAAGTCCCCAAAAAATCCCGGGAGAAAGTGCTAAGTAAAGCAAGTGCCCAAAATAAATTCAGTGATAGCAGAAATAGGGAAATTCTTGATCCTGAATGAAAGGGGAACCCTGAAAAAAAATGGTGAGACTGGCTGATGTAAGTTGCTATTTATAGCAGGTTTTAATGCTGAGCAGTCAGGATTCATTCAGAAAAGGAAGCACTTAAAAATGTCCTGAGTTCAGAAACTGTCTCTGGGACAAGGTCCGTTTCCACCTGCAACAGTCTCCATCCTGTCCTGCTCAGAGCTCGGGCACCGCTGACTTTCTGTAAGCGTCCAGAAATTTTGCCCCCACCATTCTTAACAATTCTGGAGAAATGTTGGAATTTTTGAAATGACGTCATGTCCTGGAACTGGCTCCAGTGGGAACCTGTGCCTGTGGGAGCGACCGGGAACTATCTGTGTCCACCACGCCTGGTGAAGGGGAGACCGTGGCCACCCCGGCTGGCTGCTCTGAGTGAGTGCTGGCCACCACCGGCTGCGTTGCACAAGAAACCCCTTCACATTTCCCTGAAATTGTGTCATGCCAGGAAGATGTTCGTAGCTGATAAGAAAAATGTATCTTATTACAGGGTCAATCTTCCCCCAACAAGGGCATTTTCTGAAAAAAAAAAAGATACCCTGCGGAATACTAGCAACTTCTGAAGGCTGACGCCTCAAATTTTTCCTGGCCTTTCTTTTGAAATTAAACATACCAAAGAGGATTAAGTGTACAGTATTTCAAAGCAAATTAAAAGGAAACAAAAAAGCCTCCTTGCTCCACACCGCTCTCCATCCTTGGTATGAAAGGACAAGAAACAAACAGGGAAAACTTGAGGTTTAGCGATTTTTGAGCCTTCCAGAAGCAGCAGCTGTGGGGCTGTGCTCCTGGTTCACCCCAACTGCTGGCTCCAGGGGCTGGGGCACGCCTGACCCGCACCCCTCTGGTCCTCCCAGGCATTTGCAGGGTTTGAGAGATGCTGAGGGGGAACTGTCTCTGCTCAGTCTGCATCCTCTGCCCTTGAGGACAGCCCACCTCACTCAGATCTTTGGTGAGCCCTCCAGAAAAAGCAACGAAGACGAGGCTGAAAATGGAGAGCTCTGCTATAATGAAAACAAAAACCAGTTTATAAATGAACCTGCTGGCCCTTTTGTGCTCGTCATAGCCAAGCAAAAAGGAAAAGAAATAAGCCACAAATTGATTGTTTTCATTTTCATTAGTGCTCCTGGACCCCAGCCCTCCAGGAGGTTTGGGCTGGCTCTAGGTGGCCCGCAGAAGACAGGGTGGCATTGTCCTTCGGGGATGGCTGGGCATCATGATTGATCTTCCCCTGCTCACAGAGGAGGCTGAGACCAGAGTTAACCTTTAAACTTGTGCCATGGCCATTGCCACAGCTGGGGGACTTTCCTAACGTATGGCCCTTGGACCTCCTGAAGACCCCATGTCCACCAGCACCGGCTCGGTCCCTCTCTTTGCAGCGTGCTGGCAGGGATGTGTCTGGTGTTGGTCCCCCTTCTTCCCAGCACTGATGGGGGTAGGAAACCCCACGGGTGGTGTGTGCCCCCGCTCTCACTCCGAGGTGTGAGCTTTCCAGTTGCGGTGGCCATGCTCAGATGTTTGCTGGCCCCGCTGTTTACTTTGGGCTTGTTGCAAGGCTGCAAACCACTTCCCATGTGTGGGGGCTGTTTGTCGGTGAGCGCGCCCTGCAGTGCCTCGCTGAAGCGCAGGTCCCGTCCTGCTGCTTCCGATGCTGAGGCTTTTGCCGCCCCAGATGGGTTTGTGCCCTTCAAAAGGACCATTGTCCGGCTGCCCCGGCCAGC